TTTCCTCGTCTTTTTTTTCCCGGAGTTTTTATTCCCCGGAATTTCCGGGGTCTCCATGAATAACCCCATTAAAGAGAAGAAGCGCTATAGCAACAGTCAGAGAGTGTAAAACGAAAGAGACACAGACATAAACTGTGATTGGTTTAGAACCCTATTTTATTGATTTGAAAAAAAGCAAACCTAAATATAACAGTTCATAAATTGTTCAAATTCAAACAGTGCGAAACTTCAGGAGGATCGCACGAAAACGTTTTCAATTCTTAAAAAATTCACTTTTCAAGGCTAAAAAAAAACAGAAAAATGAATAGGACTAATTGAAAACTACGACAAACTCGAGAATGATCGAAAAAAAAGGAGCTCACTAGTGTCTGATTGAAAAATTCATAAGACGAGGCGTGTTCGAGCGCTCGCCGCGAAAAATCATTCGAATTAATCATGAGAAAACAGATGGCCTAGTGGCCGAACGCACACTCTTCCAGAGCTACGTCGCTCCGTTTTCACAACAGAAGCTTCGATTAATCGAGCTTGTTTTCTTACCTACGACTCTCTCTTAGAAAACTTCGTGCAATTAATCTTCAATTACTTACTTAAAGTGTTTGATTATCTTTCAGCCAAAATGCCTACCATGGTGATGTCGCAACTCCCAAAAATTACGGCAGATACTTCGATTCGTAAACGCCAGAAAACTAAAAGCGACAACATTATGGTATATCGAAAAAAGAAATACTAGATAACCTTGTATAAATTATAGGCGATAAGCTACATGTACGTCGGCAACCCGAAAAAGAAGTCCGAGTTCTTTGTAAGAGAGGTAAGTAAGAATCTCTTTAAATTTACATCATCGCAATGATTTACAGCGATTGGTGTACCGACCGAGCGTTGAAGTAACGTACGAAGATGTGTTCAGTTACTTGAGCAGCATCACCAGCGACGACACCATTTCCTTGCACTATTCAGGTTATTTGTTTTTTCTTGATAATAACCAGTACATTACCAATTTTCTAGGGATCGTATTATAATCCGCCATAAAGTTTCAGTTAATGGTTTGTATGTACCAATCACGACTACTGGACAACTGCATACATTCCTTCGTCATGTGCATAATGACCCAACAGTCTTTTTGTATGTCGAGGTGAGTTATCCATCCGTTGACTATCAGATTCAAATCCGTCGGAGAGTCTTCAGAACCAAGAATATGTGTGGAACGTCACCCCACAAAGCAACACTCACAAGATGGAGAAGAGAGTACCAGCTGGTGGCGCTGCTCCAGCTGAAAGTGCAGGCGATCCATACGACTCTATGGAGGACGAGGATGAAGAGGAAGGCGAGGAGCTCAGTGAAGATGATAGAAGTCATCAAGACGAAGATGTCGATGAAGGAGAATATACTGACGAAGAACGTCTCGCGCCTATTCTCACGGACCCCGCTGCCCCTGTCGTGTTTGGAGAGAAAATTCCGGTGAAAGAAGCATTTGTGGATCCGAGACGGCGCATGATCTCGCAAGGAAGACATCATGGGTCCGCAGAAGAACCGCAGGAATTGAAGAACGGTGGTTGCCCAGAGGTTGGATCTCCAAAGAAAAATGCTCCAGATGTTAAAAAACCTGGTCAGTTTTTTCTTTATGAAGCTGGCTCTGGCGGACGATATCCTAACTATTGTATTAGAGGCTTTCCGAGCTACTAGATGCGAAATAATTTTTTTTTTCCATTCTTTATGCATTGGTTTCAGTTTCAGCTCCTCGTCTTCCTAGCAAAAGATGGACTACCGCAGATGCCTTCAATCAAGTTAAGGCAGTTCTATCGGATGGTATCACTACTGGAAAAATGGGATCCGCGCCGGAACAAGTCGCGGAACTGGTGGTTCTCAATGTCTGGAACCCGAAATTTCCACTCGATGTGCAAGTTCTGAAAAATACTGTTGCTCTTCTGAAGCATAGCATTGGCACTGGCATTGTTTGCTATTACAATCAACTCATGGAAAGATCTGTCAGTTTTTCAGATATTTACCGATTTATTGTGAAACAAGTTGCAGGATTCAAGCCTAGCGAAAAAAAATGATATGCCGGTTGACAAAATGCCACTAGACAAAATGGTAAGGCAAAAAAGTAAATTCCGCTGTCGAACCAGGATTTACAGAATCATGATGACGAGTTCTTGTCTCAATTTGTTAACAGTGCTATCATTGCGGCTATTGATATGCTCGAAAGTGTTCAACATCTTGCTCATCTTCAGAATGAATTTGACTATTTCGACAAGCTGAATCAAACGGCTAGTGAGAAAAACTTCGGTAAGAATAATTTTTCCAATGCGTCTTTAAATGTTTTCATGTTCAGCTCAAGAACACTTGCCATCAGCTAGAGAATTGGAGGAGCACCTGAGAGTTGCAGTATCATCCGCTCACTACGGCTTCAATATTCCCAGCCCGTTGTTCGTATCACCATGTGAATGCAAGGAGGCTATTCGTTTGGTTACATGTGAACTGCAAAAGCTTCTATGTGCTATGAGGACCAACAACAAAAAGACATCCACATCATTGGACATCCAAGAAATGCTACTTTTCATTATCGAAAGTGCACACAAAATTATTCAAAGATTTACGAAGAAGTACGTTGATAGAGTCGACTATAAGTCTACTAGTTCAAACCTCTGAAAGAATTCGATTTCGATTATGATTTTTCTCATGTCTAACACGCTTTTTTCCAGAGTGTGTCCAGAACACAAAACAATCGAGCTGGCATACCGCGATTCGGAGGAAAAGAAGTGGGAGAAAGATAGTGTCACTCACGATAAATGGATCAAGCTAGGCCTTGTCGGCGAAAGCCGCCTTAACATTCCGCTGTATTGTTTCGACTTACCAGTAGAGCAACCACCACCATTCACAATGAAACCTGATGATGGATCACAGACCGCTGTCTCCCAAAACAATTCAACAAATGGTTGCGAAAGTAGTACGCTTCAGGCAGTTTTGCCTGATTCCGAGTCACCACCTCAAAACTTGGCTGGTGCCGAAACAACTCTCCCTGCAATTGAGAAATTGTCTACCAATGACCCCGAGGAAGTCAAAAATTCTGGACAACCGCAATCCAACGCCGCTGCCCCTGCGGTAAAACCTTCAACAACAAACACAAATACATCTACAACTACCACATCGACTGGTGAAGCAGCAGGTGGGGGCACGGCTACTATTTCCAAAAAAATGAGTCCTGAATTGCAAGCAATGGTTGATAAAATGGTAAGTAATATTAACTCTGAACGTTTCATCTTAGCCAATTTTCAGTTTAAAAATGTTCAAACCCCGCACAACTTTGTATACCCGCCACAGCCAAAACCAGGAGCTATTCTCATTCCCACTGGAGGTTTGGCTCGCTGCAGATGCTCCAAAAATTGTCCTGAATTCCTTATGGAGCCAGCCTACGAGTATATGGAACGTTTCAATGAGCCTCGTCAGACTGTTTGGGAGAAAACCAAGCAGAAGCGTTTCAAGAAGAACTAGGACCAACTTGGTAGTTCCAACTATTTTTCCCTGAGATTCATCTCATTTCTTCCTTTCTTTCTATACATCATTCCTCTAATCTGGATTCCAATTCGTTTCAGTAAATCGAACAGTGTTTCTTTATCATTCGAATTCCTACTTATTCCTATCTATTTATGGTTCGTGTTTTATTTGTCCTTATGTTGGTAAATGGATATTGAGCGAACACGAGCCCACCAGTTGTTTTCCCGGCGTTCACATAATCCATCTTTCTCCTAGATTTTGTTTCTTTTTGCTCCAATCATTCCCCTTTCCTTTAGCGCTTTCTCTCTTTCTTTGCATGACTTTCAGTTTTCGTGTTGATTGTGAAATGGAGAACACTTGTGAATTGAATTTTCAAGACAGTAGTTGGTTTCAATATTACTATTATTATGATGATGCTCTATTTTTCTATCCCTGATAAGTGCGGTCATTGGCCATTATCCCCATCTGAATGTCAAAGTATGAAAATGAAATCAATAAATTTTCGATTTGGATTTCTTGTAGAGATGATGATCACCGGAAAAAGGCCGTTCTGAAATTCTGAAACGAAGGTTACTTTTGAAAACATCTAGTATCCCGAATGGTTTGTTGGAATTATAAGGGACACGATTTTTGAATCTTCAGCTGGCGGGGGTCGTTCGTCGAGGAATCTTAAGCTTCGTGGCATTTGAGATCACCGCAGCTGCTGTGGGGTTTGCAACCTTCCGAACACTTCGAAGGAGTGAAGAAAAGCGAAAATACTTGTATTTGAACTGGCCATCTCTGTCATCTACCTACTACTGGGTTGAAGATTCTATTTCATTCGGACAACTTACTGTAAATATCATAAAAATGTAAGGATCGAACAACTTTGGTTTCAGGGTACTCGTCTCCGCTTGAGCGACCAACGTCGGTGGGCTCAAATCGATTTGAATTCGGAAAACATTGAAACCGATTAGTCATGGTCAAAAAATCTCAAATCCAAACGGGAATTCTAGGCACAAGCCTATTAATGGCCATCACATGTCAGCATCTTTACGAATATTGGCAGAAAAATAAACCACCTCCGGAGATTCCAGTTCAATCGTGGGACAAGTATGTCAAAATGCGGAAAGAGAGTGGCAAAGATTATTAAATTTATGCTTCAATCTAATCTTTTGTTGTCGTTTTTAGATAAACGTTTTCTTCTTTCTATTTCGCTGTTCACTTTAATTTTCGTTACATTCCGAAATTTCCGGTCGTCTTCCGCATACCGTAATCCTTTTTTTAACCGCACAATGTGCCACTGAATCATGACAGCAAAAAACCGTTCAAGTTTCTGGAACTTCTATTTTTCGATCCGTCCTTATAGTGTTATTAAACGGTAACATTTTCTCAGATGTCTCAAACAGGTCCATTCATCCGTGTCACAACTGTCAGCGCGCCTCTAAAAGGATCTTTTCCTCTAGATCACGAAGGAACTTGTAAACTCGAAATGCTGAAGTAAGTATTATTCTTCTTCTTTTTGAGGTCTTGTTGTTTTTGGTAATTATTTTCTTAAGTGCATTATACCTGAAATTCCCCTTTTTTTCAGTTATATGGTGTGCCTACACGAGAAGAAGCAGCAAAACAGTGGATGCCGTGATGTTGCGAAAGATTATTTCGAATGTCGAATGAACCACGGACTAATGGATAAAGATGAATGGCAGAAGCTGGGATATGGAGATACAAAGTAGATCTTAATTTTGCACTTCTCATTGTTTTCCTTGTTTCAAAGCTAGTTTCAGTTCTTTGTTCTTTGCCTTTTTTTTAATTTTAAATAAACAAGTAAGAGTTTTAATATTTCCCGCTTTCGTGTTTCTACTAGCTGATAAGAGTGACGGCAGCGACCGCGGTGCTGGCTGGTACCAGGGACAACCCCTTGGAACTAGCCGTTATCGGATGACTCCTGGAGTAAATAAATGATAACGCCTGAAACCATGAAGGTTTCAGAAAATGTAGAGGTTTCTGAAACTTTAAATAAAAAGGAAGACGATGTGAAATTCCGAAGATAACACGAATTTGGTGCTGATTGTAAGAAGACTTAGGATGTTGGTATGCAAAAATCAGAGCTGTTGAAGAGAAAATCTGGTGACCGCGGCCATGGGCGAACTACCGAATTCGCCCGTTTTTTGGACAATTTTTTAGATTTAGAGAACAGTTTATTTTCCGACTTTTTTGGATGTTTTCAACACGAAAGTTGTTGGGAAAAAGAACTGAAGTTTTCAGGTTACGGTGGTTTTCGTTCCGGGAACCGTTGGCCACGCCTACAAAATTCAATCTTCGACAGCTCCGATTTTTCGTACCAGAATAATACAGTAGTAAAACTCCAATATCGGGTTCTCTGGTATTCCAATATTCCTTGTTAAACATTGAATGTGAAAAATTTAATTCAATGAATATTTTATTGAGTGCAATTAGTAATTTAACCGAAAATTGGCTTGAATAAAATACAATTGTTGAAAAAAAGTTTTAAGTTACCGGCAATTAATGTGTATATTGTCAATTCAAAAAAAATCGGTCGGATATAATTGAAAACAAAAATTGGTTTACTAGACTCCGCCCTCTTTAATGTCTCCTCTTAAAATTACGACATTTATGGTAACAGAAGGGAACGGAGTTAATTAGGTTATCAATGACTAAATTGATTGTTCACAAGTTTATCCGCTCGATTTTTTCTTAAATTGACGATAATGCAAAACTGGGAAGGCGAGAACGTGATCTACACGGGGGCTTGGGGGAGTCATGGGAGTACGGTAGAGAAGAAAAGAAGTAATAGGTGAAATTGGAAATCTTTGACTAGTGATAAACTCGTAAGAAGAAGGATCCAGAATTATTATAGATTATTTCAGGAAAAGTTGAAATGGAGAGGGACATTTAAAACAGAAAAAAGATTCAGAAGGTATTTTTGTATTCTGATTCAAATTTAACTGTGGTGACTGTTGTTGAATCGGTTGGAATTTGATGAGTGACCACTGAAACTGAAGCAGAAGGTGCTGTTGTAGTAGAAGGAGGTTCCGAATTAGGAACAACCACTTGATAGTTTTGATAGAACACTGGCTCATAGTAATGTAATCGCATATGAGCTTCATTCAGAGATTCTCGGAGGACTTTTATCTGAAAAAAAAAATAGTTTTTCTTAATTAAGAGTTTCCAGGCACCTGATTCCGGAGCATCAAGTTATCAGTTTCCAATTGCATTTGATTCTGAACTCTTCTTGCGCGGCAATTCAGAGCGTATCCTCGGTTTTTGAGTGTTCGTCGTTTTTGTTTCCACTGCAGCACCACATTTCTATCTTGACCCTAAAATTGGAATAACATTAAAAAAACAAACAGAATGCCTCAACTTACCATAAGTTTTTGGTTGAGTTGCCTAACCGTAATGTGAGCCAGCTCTTCGTCCGACAAATGATCGAAAGGATTAGGACTAGAAGATCCGGATTCTCTTGAAGAGCTCACAGATCCAGCAGAAGAGACTGGACTCATTAATTGTTGATTGCTGTTCATAGTGGTGTAGCTTGAGACAAGGCAAGTGGTTGAACACCGCGACTTCGCAATAACTGAAACGTTTGCAGTTTTCGGACGAACACTTTTTGTGGTTCAGGGAAGAAAATGGGCGGAGTCTCGAATAGCAAAAGACTCTGATAAGCGTCAAAAACGGTGGGGGAGGCGTTGCAGGCAGAACCAAATGTAAACATAGGAGGGGCAAAAGTCAGCGGAAGCGAGCAGAAGTAACAAGACCAGTATGTTTTTATGTGAATGCTAAATCAAATCCAAACAATCCAAACCGAAATTCGTAACTGGGAAAAATCAGTTAGGAACATCACAAACTGAAAAGGATGAAATCGGGGATCGTAAATCATTATTTGAAACGAAACTTCAATTTCTAGAGCTAAATCAAAAACTTTTAGAAAATTTCAAAATTAGAAAAAAAGATCATTGAAGAAGTTTTCAAAATTTTTCACTTGGATTTCAATCGAAATTTATGTATTTAGGACGCCTTGTCCTAAATTTCAACTTCGAGCCAATTTATCTCGGTTCCTGTGACAGATATCAAAAAGTAGTCAACTAACAATTAGCATTATAATTAAAATTTTGTCAGTTGATTAACTTTTCATTCCTTTGATCAGAAATGAGATATATGAGCTCAAAGTTGACGGTTTGAGGGCGTTCCATTAGATTGTTTATCCAGATTATGTCTGCCAAAATGGAGTATCTCTGGATGACTTGTTTTGCAAAAAAGCTCGTTTTCCAGAATGTATTATTTGCTCAAATCGTATTTTTTAATACTTATTTCAAGTGGAAACACAGCTGAAAAGAAGACGTGTCAGTGAACCGAAGTAATATTTTGTGTGTCAAACCAAGCTTAAATCAGGGTGAATGCAAAACTTACTAGGGAAGGCCCCAACTCGGGTGTGGCGATACGGGTGGTGACCTACATTATCTGAAAGCTGAAATTTTCCTGATTCCAAATCTGTTTTCAAAAAGTGCTTTGTCGCGGTAGTTTTCGAGAAAATTGGGTCGAACGTTTCGAAAAATAAGGTGGATTTTCAATCTCATTTTCCTTCCTCAGGTATATAAGTTTTGAAGCATTGAAAGAATGTGAAAGCGTGGTCGAATGGTTAGTGAAAAAGAATATGAAGCGGATACTCTCTGGTTCGACTCACTCGAGCTGCTAAACTTTTTTTTGAATTTTTTCTTCGTTCTTTCCGGTGACCGTATCTGACTTGTAGAAATGGACATAGGTTATCGAATCTCGTGAAACAACTTTTTTATTGGTTCTCTTTGTTTTGAACTAATTCTAGCACATTAAAATTTTTTCGAAAATTGAAAAAATGCCAAGGGGGTACCCCATGGCGATTGAGAAAGAATATGAAGCGGATACTCTCTGGTTCGACTCCCTCGAGCTGCTAAACTGTTTTTGAATTTCTTCTTCGTTTTTTCCGGTGACTGTATCTGACTTCTAGGTGATCCTATATGATTCCATACAGGGTGGCTGAAAAGTATTGAGACTACTTTCAAGGAGTCACTGGAATGGCGCGAGCCGGTTCCTTCTAGAAATATTGATGTTTTTGGATAACTGGAAGACTTCTAAAGATTTTTTGATGACTAGAATGTATCTACTTTTGGTAACAAGATCACAATTCCAGTTTGATTGAATTTGACTACTTTTTCAGTACAAAATTGGTCATCTTTGACCATTTACTGTGTCAAAAGGTCAAGTCCAATTTAGCTTTAAAGACATGGAATGTATAGTGCATCTCTCGATTGTTGTCTCAAACACTTTCATTTTCAATTTGAAGTCATTTTGTAGGCCGCAGGAGCATTACCGCAAACTCAACTTTTGCCTCGCCGCGCAGTACTAAATGAGCTTTTTTCGAAAGGGCATATCTTGATAAAAACCCGGATCGCTTGAAAGATTTTCACTGTCAAATTGTTCAAATGTGCACAAATGATAATTTGAGAAGTTTCAAAACATTTTGTTGACTCTATCTGTTTGAACTGGAACATTGAAAATTTGAGCCATTTTTGAGTCATTTGGTCGGTTGCATGATATCACTCATATCTATAAATAGAGGTTATCGAGGTATCTAAAATTTTAGGAGCATTATCTAGAAGAGTTCTTCCAACTATATTGAAAGCATGAACTTTCAACCTTTGTTCAATTGCGGTTACATCATGAAGTACTAAAAACAAGGTGCGGCGAGTCGCTCATATTTCTACATCACATTTGATGTTCTAACTAGGTAAAACTAAGGTATTCAAGGTTTTCCTTCTAAATGTAAACTAGAAAAATAATCATTATTCGCAAAAACTAGCAGTCATAGTCATCAGGTTTTCTGTTTTCAAGAAATTGAGTCTAAACAAAGTCTCAATACTTTTCAGCCACCCTGTATACTTGGAATTGGTTTCCATTTTGATTTTAACTGTTTTACCTATTATTTTCGAAACTTTTTGTTTTCATCTATTTTTCCACAATTTTCAAAGGATTGTACTCCATTGAAGATTCTAGACAAACCGCATATTTTTGATTTTGCTCAAACTATTGTCATTGGTCCTTTTGGGCACGGTGATTACAGAAATGAAGTCAGTTTTTGCACCCCGGCCTTGTGAAAAAAGTTATGAGTATAAAAGTGACTACAGTACTAATTTCTCATTTTTGGAGTGAGTTTCTAAAGGAGCTATTGACTTTTTTTGGCTAAATGTAGATGTTACTCGTATTTTGTATGCTTTTCTACAATCTGAAGAGGTTTTCTCTTTTTTCGGAAATTTTTTTTTTGAGAAAATCGCCATGGGGTACCCCCTTGGCATTTTTTCAATTTTCGAAGAAATTTTAATGTGCTAGAATTAGTTCAAAACAAAGAGAACCAATAAAAAAGTTGTTTCACGAGATTCGAGAACCTATGTCCATTTCTACAAGTCAGATACGGTCACCGGAAAGAACGAAGAAAAAATTCAAAAAAAAGTTTAGCAGCTCGAGTGAGTCGAACCAGAGAGTATCCGCTTCATATTCTTTTTCACTAACCATTCGACCACGCTTTCACATTCTTTCAATGCTTCAAAACTTATATACCTGAGGAAGGAAAATGAGATTGAAAATCCACCTCATTTTTCGAAACGTTCGACCCAATTTTCTCGAAAACTACCGCGACAAAGCACTTTTTAAAAACAGATTTGGAATCAGGAAAATTTCAGCTTTCAGATGATATAGGTCACCACCCGTATCGCCACACCCGAGTTGGGGCCTCCCCTAGTTAGAGTTAAAAATAAAAGCTTGGGAAAATAAAAGTGTTTAAAAAAGACAACTCTGAACCGACAAGAGAGAATGGGATAGAGAGTAGAATGAGAGGGTCTCTGTCTGAAAATGAAGGGATTAAAGTATCTAAAAACTAAGAAAATAAATATCTAACATCGATAATTGTCATTATCTAAATCATTGAAACTCACCTGTTCAAAATTGTCTTCTTGTGGAGGAGCAGTTGGAATAGAAACCACTGCTGGAACTACAGGAAGCACAGGGACCATTGGAACTATTGGAACCAACGGCACAACTGCTTTCCCGGCAACAGTGGATAACACAGTTCGCATGCTGTTCTCGATGGAATCTGCCAAAAGTGCTCCTACCTCATCTTCGGCTTCTTCTAGCAATAGATTTGCAGCTGATGAATTTATTTTCTCGTCCTTGAAAGTATTGAATGATTGGAGAAATCTAATTTTTGCAAACCTGATATCTTCGACAAGCATCCACCAACTGTTGAACATCATCGTCCAGTCCTTGTTTCTTCCTACCAACTATTGAAAAACTTCTTGAGAACTTACTCGCTGCTGAAATAATTAAGTGGGAATGGATGGTTAAATTAAACACTTACCTTCTGTTTGCGTCGAAGCATCAGTTGAATGAGTGCTTCCACGAGAAACGGGAACATGAACGGATGCAGTTCGAGTCACTCCCCCTCCCATACTCGATGATTTACTGAAAGATCTATCAATCTAGGCTGTGTTTATTTGTACTATACTATTCCACTACTTCTAAATGAACGAACCTCGCAGAGCCACTCTGTACTGATGTTCGAGCAGTTGTTTTGGATCCAAGGTGTTGTTGTTTACTAGTACTATCATATGCAGCCTGGGAGTTTCCAAAATGACATCTAATTAGTTTTGTGGTGGTATACGACGCTCGGATATTCTTCTCCGGGTGCATCAGAATAATATACAGTTTGGGGAAGAAAAGAAGAGCCAAAGCAACTGAAGCAGATAGCGAGTAGGAAAAACTCATTACAAGAGCTTTGTGCGTTGTTCCCATATGAAGAACCAGGAAGGCTATCCAGACAACCACCGTGCAGTACCTAAAAACAAGAGTTTTTCTTTTTTTCATAATTCTTGGTGTCTTACATTGTGAACCCAATGAACTTTGCCTCGTTGAAATTTTCGGGTAGATTTCTGGTTTTGAATGCATAAAGTGTGCATAGGGATATGAGAAAAAAGTCCCAAAAGAATGGAATCAGAAACGACTTTGTTTCCGTGTCGCACTCCAGAATCAGTTTCCTAGGTAGAGCATACTTGGCATACGTGGCATCCGGCCAATCTCGCATCAGTCCGACGCCTACTATTACACATTGAACTGCGACTAGAATCCACGTTATGACCACCTAGAAATTGAAAAGAATTTTTTTCAGCTTGCTCTGATACCATACCTGAGAAAATGTAGTCAAAAACCGTGGCTTCTTTGTCAGTATTCGCTTTTTACTCCCTGCCAATATCCTTGCTATCCTATTGGTTTTCGTTAGAAGTGCTGAATATACAACTGCAAAAGCAATCGGAGGAATCACTCTTGTTATGAAACAAGAAGACGATGAAGGTGTGGCGAGAAGAGCAAACGAGACTGCGTAACAGGCAACAAGTCCAGAAAGAATGATATAAGAGAGCTCTCGGGTCGTACTCTTGACTACTGGTGTTGAATTGTGTCGAAGGAAGACTGCAAGTGTAGCCAGACTGGTAATAATTCCAGTGACAGCCAATACAAGAGCCAGGATGTGACCAAAGGAAGTCCATGAAACAACTTCTGGAATGATATCTTCACATCCCGTTCGATTCGCATTTGGCCAAGATCCAAGAGAACAATTCATGCATTGGTTGGTAGTCTTGTTCACAAATTGCATATCAAGACATGATTCACAGATCCAACAACAAGCCATCGTCTCTCTTTGCTGAAATAGAAAGTTCTGAATAATTGCAACAGAAATGAAACATACTCTCTGACCAATGCCACATGGTCTACTACAAACACTTTCTGGAAGGATCTCAGTTTTATCGAAGAACATTGATCTGGCAGTCATATCCAATTCTTCGACACCGTAATCGTTGATGGACTTGAATGATCCTACTTCATTGTATGGATTGTCAAGATCTTTGGTTCCGATGTAGTTAAGAATATCATACCTAAATCAATAATTACTGATTAAAAGATGTTAAAATCAGTGTTACCAAGCTGGTGGATCTCCGTTTCTATCGAAATAAACAGGTTGTTTGAATTGGTCACTGTATGTTACATTCAGTAGATATTCATACAGAAGTGTTCCATTTCTTGACAACATTTCCGTACAAAGAGTCGAGTTATCTCTGAAAATGCATGGAACTTTAATCACTGTTCAAAAATTTTTGGTTTGTCAACAAAGTCATACTTGTAAACCGGGATCCGCTATAGTTTCTTTTCGAACCAATATTTTTTGGACCAACTAAATCAGATATGATAGAACTTGACGAGTACTACAGCTTGAGATTATTTGAAAAAATCTATCTTGTCTATGAACAAAGTTACAATCGAAACGGACGGAAAAGCAGACAAGAAAATGCCCGGCCCGTATCAGCCATTTTATGGCTTATAACTTTATTCATAGACAAGATAACATTTTTCAAAAAATATCTTTTTGTAGTACTCGTTGGGTTCTATCATAACCAATTTAGTTGGTAGAAAATACTCTGTCTAAAAGAACTATGTGTCTAAAAAAGCCGACGAGGACCGGCCAGGGCCCCGTTTACAAGTATGAACAAAACAAAACTGACCGACACCTATCCTGATACATTGCCTTTAGACCCAATGCAACGACTGTAATGGAATTGATAACTTGAGATAATTTCGGATCTTCCTTATATTGCTCGTCAAGATTCTCATCACCACTGCAGATTCTGATGTTCTCGTTGTTTTTGTCTTCTTTGGAAACGGCAAATTGACAGCTAAAATGTTATGATTATGAGAGTTCTGAAATGTGAACTGACTTAAATTTTTGTTGCCAAAACTCTCGAAACCACGGATTCATAGTGTTGTTCTCCGGATGCAGAGCGGTGTAGTATTGCCGAAAACCAGGAATTTTTGGAGCATGAATTCGAATGGAGAATGATCCTTCTGCTTCTTCTTCCAAATCTTCCACCACATCATTTCGATCCGCCCATCCATCGGATCCAATCCATTGAAATCTCTTCATCTGCATTTTACCATCAGCCAAATGTTTTTGTGCTTTGAAGAACTGTCTCATGGAAGCTCCTTCACAGAAACACACAACTACTTGAGGTCGAGAATTTTGAGAATCCAATCGAGTGAGGACTTGTCTGTACTCATTATCACTTGCCAGCGTTTTGATCTTTTCAGAATACGCAATACAGACGGAAGATGAACGATGAGCAATCAACCTCTCCAAGCTCTCGAATCCCTTCTCACCATAGTTACCTGTAAAAAGAAATCTGTATCATAATTGTCTTTTAACTATCAAGTATATTCATCAGTTCACTTTGATCCCCTTTCTTCAAACCGCCATTTCCGATGCCGGGAGTCTTCCTATCAACGTCTACTTCAGATGCCAAAAATTTAATTATTTTCTCTTTTTGCACAAGCAAAAATCCCGCTATCCTCCACCCACAATTCTTGTTTAAGGATCTTCTCTTCCTCTCTTTCTTCTTCATCTTCTTCTTGTATCATCAGATAGCAAAAACGAGATAGACACAAATTCGATTCTACTTGAAGCACCCGCAGGGCATAAGAAGAAGAAGCAAAAAAAGTAGGGGTGAATGAATAGGAAAGAGGTTAGAAAGGGTTAAAAACATATAGAGAGGGTGTGAGAAACTGGGGAGCATCTTATATAGGGAATCAGCACATTTTGGTTAAGCTCAAATAATAACTGTAGCTACCAAACCGAATGTCCGGAAAAGGAGCAGTACAGAATCTGATTCAATCAATCAAAGGTGGGCTGACATTAAAAAAAAAATAACTGTCTCGAAGTGTTATTCATATAAGCCGCTCGAGATGGTGAACTTGTGGGACGAGTATTGAAGGTTCAGCGCCGCTAAAGCGGTATACTGACTGAGCCACGCGGGCAAAGAATGCATACCCTAACTCCGAAAATCCTCTCCCCTCTCTTGTCAAGGTTATTGTCGAAGCCAACTGTACCTGCAGAATACAAAACTGCCACATATGTCCAGTTATAATGATGAAGCAGTCGATTTATAGCTTGTGCTTGAAAGACATCAGATGGAACAACGCGAAGAAAATAACCAAATTGTTCTTTGTCGGATAAATCGGGTGTGGTGGCTGAATATCCGACTTGAGGTATTCGAAAAACCTTAAACTTAATGATTTTGAAAAGAATTTTGAATATGAGTTTACCTGTAATAAGTTCTGAACTGCAATCGTCGATGAACTCTTTCCAGGTCCAATAACAGCCACCACAGGAACACTTTTCTTGTTGCATCCAGGTGTTTGACAACAAGAACATTGAGCAACTCCTTCTCTTAAAAACGCTATTGTCTGTTCCATTGCTATTCGTTCTGTCCAACAAGAATCTCTGAAAAACCGAAAATAGTTGCTTTGAATGGAGTAGGAAAAACCATACCGTATAGATAAACCTAATTTAAATGGTAACTCTTCGTTTAGCTTATTTACTGTGTGCATTGCTATTTCCGACCGTTGTATTCCGTATTGCTCCCATATCTCTCCACAACTCTCAGATCCGGCGATTTGACGATGAATTGGAAATAATGCACCGATCTAAAAGTTGGCTTGTTTTCACATTATAAATTATGGTCAATTCAGAACGGTTATCTGATCTGAAGTTATCGTTTATTTCAGAAACATACAAAGTACCGTAAATGCCTTACAATTAGTAGAACGCCCCCAAACCGTCAACTTTGAGCCCATTTCGTCTTAAAGATATAAAAGGTGGTCAACTGGCGAAATGTTTATCATAATATCAAAAATATTTATTGGTTGACCCATTTATGATGTCTCTAACAGAAAATGAGATATATGGGCTCAAAGTTGAAAGTCGGGGTGCCGTTCTATTAGAGTGCTTGCGGTAATCTAATGATTTTTGAAAATAAATTTCTTCTACACAACAAATGAAGCTAGATAACTTTATTTTTGGTTGGACGAATTTAATGAAATCGATACTTCAATTGTCGCGATTTCTACAGGATGGATGGTTTCCGCTTTTTTTTCCGGCTTACAAACGCCACAGCAACATTCGACAAGAAAAACATCTGACCTGTATTTCCCCGTGAATTTCAGCGACAAGCATTCGTGCCGACTGCTGTACTGTCGTTTTTGCGACGACGTCGACGACGCGAAGCATGAGAAGTGTGACATGACTGTAGAGCATTTCGCGTTGTTTCCCACATACACATGCACTCTTCTCTCCTCCAAATCTCTATTCCTACCACCTTGCTTTCATTTCTATTTTGCTGAAATAAGAAGATATATAGAGAAAGAAGAGTTATTGGAAAGCAAAGAAAAAGAAGGAAGTGAACGGAATCTTGAGGGTAAATTATGAGATCCCTTCCCCTTCTTGAGTAAAAGTTTTTTCCTCTCCATAGAAAAGAATGGATAAACAAGATGAAGGAGAGAGGGAAAGACATATTTATGAGATTTCACACATATAGGTTATGTAATAATATGTATAAATCAAAATACTGGAATCCATTTATAACTGGAATCCATTTTTATTTCTGATCACTGCCAGGGTTGTTCCAAACGGAATTCAATATTCGAAAATTCCGAAACTCCTAAATTGAAAGAAATCGGAATATTCCGAAATTTTCTACATTTCGAAAAACTCCAAAAAAAATCACTCCGGATATCCCTGATCCCTGTTTAAAATTCTGTCTGTTGATTCTTCTCGAACGGAAGCTTTCCAGAACGGCTTTTTTAGAAAAAAAAAAAGATTAGAGCTTATCTGGAACCTTCTTGGTGACGTCACACCTTCAGAATCGCAGAGACAACTCCTTCAGAATCTCAAATGACACGTGTGTCACAAGCTGTTGGTCTTGGGAATTTATTCAGTGAGGGAGGGAGAAGAGCCTAACCTGATGGATATCGAGAACCAAAAACCATTCGGAAGAATTAAAGATTCTGTGTAGTAAAAAACAATCTGTTTTGTGCTGAATTTGAAGTGATAGTAAAACGGTGAAATCTCTAAATATCAACTGAATATATTTCGGTTCCTGTAAGGGGTATCAAGAATATTAAAGTGACAAATTATTGATGACCAGCAAGCTGGTGGGCCTTCGGCGCGGTTCAATCTATTTTTTTCAAATGTTCGTCGCTTCGTTTCTCACTTTTTCTAAATAAAAGGGTCACGTAAATATATATGTACTTTTAATTTTTTCAAAAGTCCACAGACGGACACGAGGACGGACAGACGCCTCTAGCGTTTTATTAGTAAGGAAGATATTATGATGAAAGATCTCAGTTAATCAGTTTTTTTATATACTTTAAATAAAATTAGATTAATAAGCTTAAATTTGGCCATTATATAGCACTTCAATGAGAGGTTTTACGGTAACAGGTAGCTGTTCTCAAAGAAATTTTAAAAAGTAACTTCTAACGAATTTTGAAGACTGTTATCAGAAAAGTTGTTTCTTTCGGGCTGAAAAAGAAAATGAGCATTTTTCTATCGGTTAGTTGTTAAACTCTGATAACAAAATAGTGCTCAAATCGAGAGGATCCTTGAGAAAAATAAGAAAACTAAACAGGAAACGGATAGACGTTGGTTCTGTTTTTCGTTTGCCGTGTCTTGAGCTGTTTTCTTCCATACATTTTCAATTATTAGTGGCTTTTTTGCTCTCGTGCTCCTTCTTGAGAAGTCAGTTTTTTTCCTACATCAATTCTAGTCAAGAATAATCGGGAATACCGAAAAAAAGGGGAAAAAAGAAAAAGAAAGTAAAGAAAAAACTAGAGAGGTGTGGGCGGCTCAGAAAACAAATATAGGCAATAAGTAAGGTGTATCTCGAATGAAAAAAGAATAAAAAGAAGAATGAGTCAGATTCTAGAAGATTCAGATACTGAAGGAATAGTGAGCCTCATGTTCTTCAAAAGTGATTTAGTTTGGGAAATAGGGGAATAGATAGACTGAAAAAAATAGAAGGATACTGGGCTGAATTCAAATATAGCCCCCACCCCGATTCAAGTATTGCCCCCCAAAATGAACCATAGTAGAGCCCCCCACCTCCAACAATCTATACACTTGGAACAGTTCAAATAAAGCCCCCCCCCCCCACCAATTCAAATATAGACCCCCACTTTTAAATGGTCCATTTCAATTCAAAATAAGCCCCCCACCCATTCAATTATGGACCCTCACTTTTGCGTAGTTTGTGGTGTGTGAAGGGTACCGTAGCCGTCATGATGCAAATTTTGAGCTTTTTTTTTATTTTCTTTGATTTTTTCGGAATTCGTGTCATTTTTCACCATTTTTCCTTGTTTCTTGGGAACTTTTCCTGAAAAATACTTGTCAGCCATGTATATCTAAGAACTTCCAAAATTAGAACTTCCAAAATTAAAACATTCTAAAATTCAGGCTTAGGCCAAAAAATGGTGGGGAGCTATTTTTGAATTGGTGGGGGTCTAAAATTGAATATGTGACCATATTTTAAGAATACCAGGTTCTTCAAGTATAGGCCCCCACTTTGTACTGGTAGGGCGTCATTCTTTAATCAGCCAATTCAACTTCAGCCCCTCACACCTCAGTAGAGCCCTCTGGTCAAATTTCAATGCTCATTGCCGCCAATTCGATAATGAGCGAAGCTTAGGTCAGGTAGCGAAATCTTTAAAGATGCGTATTTTTCGTAATTATTTTCCGGGGTATTTGTTCGATTTTTTGATGCATTTCGTGAATTTTGAACTATTTTAAAACAGAAAAAAAAACAAAAAATGATTGAGGAAAATACATGCTGCTTAAAGGATTTCGCTTCCGGGCCTAAGCTCCGCCCACTCTCCGTTTTTCGGTCTTCAATTCTTCTAAATCAAAAATAAAATTTCAGATTTACTATCTGATATGTTTAAAACGATGGAGCTCAACTTAAGTAAGACAGTCGAATGATTCGGAAAGTTCGGAAACTTTATAATGGTTGTCTGAAATCATTAAAAGTTCCGACACCGTCAAAAATGCAGTTCTAGCCTTTCAAAAAATATGACAAATTTTGTGTGGATGATTTGAAACTGAAAACATGTCAGATATCAGTTACTTTCACACTTATTTATTTGTAAAACGATATATTTATCTATTGTTGTTATCCGCCTCTTTTTTAGTGTACACTTAGAGATCATAAAGATCAGCAGAAACTTTTTTCATTTTCATCTGTTTTACTAAATCTTATCCTGGGGGTATAGGAAGGTCAGAGTAAAAGAGTGGGAGTGAGAAAACCCGAATAATTATTCCTTTTTTTCAAAAGCAGATGGGTCAAAAAGCAACAGATTTGTTGTTGTTTAGTTAGTAAGAAAAAGCTAAAAGAGTGGGATGGAAGCGAAGGAATTCGGATTTAGCAGAAAATAGGGGAAAAGGAAAGAAGAGACGGAAGCGGTGGCTCCAAAGTTCAAAGAAGCGGTGCGTCGATATAGAGTAATTGAAATGGGGGGATGAGTAGTGACGTGGCAAAATAAATGAGAAGTCGTTAAGAGGGTTGAAACTGTGAAAAAAGGAAGATTGGAACACGGCAACAATCGAGTGCCCCTGTAATAGAAGGGTCCACCTTCAAAATGGGTCATTTGGAATTGAAAATTTCTTCCCGTTTTCAGTAATAAATATTCCGAAAACTTCACAAGTTTTCAATTTTGGCGATAATGACAGAATTTTGAATAAGAATTCACAGAACTTTTCGATGAAAGTTTTCGAAAAAAAAATGGCGGGAAAATTAGAAAAGCCTCTAATTGAAGTACCCCTGTAATAGAATGGCCCTCCGGAAGTACCCTAAAAATAGAAGATCCGGCCTTTCTAATACAAGCCTTAAGGTATTTGTAAAAAGAAAAGTAAAACCTCATTAAACTAAAAAATGAAAGAACTGAATTTTCCTTCGGTTTACATTTTAATCAGTTTCTTACAGTCAGAGGGAAATTCTTTATTTTCTGTTGAAAGAAGTTCTAGAAAATTCCCACAGAAGTTTTTTTTCCATAAATACAAACACATAAACTTTTCGAGCTAATGTCTTGATATGGTTTTATGATGAAAACTTATTTCGGGGACTTATATTTCTGAACTGATATTTCAGATGGCCGGTTAGTTCTATGATTCGGATAAAACGTGTCAGAGCAGCTGAAAGATATGAAAAAGTCGAAAAAGGAAGATGTACAGAAAATAGAATAAAAAAGAGTTGAAGAAGGCGACGAAGAAGTCCGTTGATGGAAAAGAAGAAGATGGAGACACCCTCTTCCCAAATCAGCCGACGCCTTGCGTATTTTGACGAACTTATGTTAACTCAACGTCTTCTTTTCCTCTTCTTCTTTTTTCTTCTTGTTCCCCAGCAGTTGCCGTAGTCGTCGTCGTTGTCGACAGAATTCTCGTGTCTTTGAAGTGTGAATAGTGTGAAGAAGATGCAGGAGAAGCAGCACAGAAAAGGAAAAAGAAGAGTTGATTTTAGGACCGCCCATTTTGAGAAATGTCTCATTGAAAGACAAATTTAAATGAACCGAAAGATTCTTCACTGATGTTTAGAGTAGTTCTTTTAGAATACGTTTGCCTGTTTCGAGTTTTGTTCTAGATATATTACGCATTTGATAGCCATGAATCTTTTCGGGCAGACCTGGGTTATCCAAATAAAAATTTTTTTTTGAAATTTCTGAAGTTTCTTCAAATTTTCTTGTGACAAAACTACCGTAAAACCTGTATTAGAAGGGCCGGCCCTTCTATTTTTCGTGTGGTCCCTAGGGGGGCACTTCAATTAGAGGGGCCCTTCAATTAGAGGGGGCACTTTTATTTTTCGTGGGACCTCTGAGAACGGATCTTCTATTGAGGGGCATACTTTTTTAGTGAAATGTTCGTTTTATACTAAAAATCCATTACAATTTCTACGTAAAAAACAGCAAAGACACCAATATTGTCGAATTTTTAAAAAACTGGCACCTGAAAATTTCGAGGGCGCCGTTCGTGTCGATTTACGAGGCCTCGTCTTTGAATCCGCAATTGTATTAAACGAAATTATTTTCTTTGAATTTAGTGGGATTTTCCGATTAAAATTCAGATTTCTTGGGGACATGCTTATCACTAGAATTCATAGAGTTTTTTCAATCGAAAACTCCAAGCATGATTGCGAAAATTGCTCGAAAGAGAAATTCGTCTGTATTAGAGCAACGACATTAAAATTCTCAGGTGCCAGTATTTTTTAAATCAGACAGTGATTCAATCAAAACAACAGAACAAACGGCTGAAAATTAAAGGAACTAGTCAAAGGGACACTTCAATTGGAGGGGGTACTTCAAATAGAGGCCCATTCAAATAGAGGGAGCACTTCTATTTTTCGTGAGGCCTCTAGGAGGGCACTTCAATTAGAGGGGCCCTTCAATTTCAGGGGCCCTTCTAATACAGGTTTTACGGTATTTTTATGGACACTCTTATCTTGAAAAGTTTTTTACTTGACAGAAAAATCGTCCATTTTTTTTTATTGACCTCAAAAAATTTTTTGAAAAGATAGGAACATTTTTTTTCTGAAAACCCGGGCCCTGAAAATTCTAAAAAAAGCCCGGCCCGGCCCGTTGCAAGCATGGAAAAATACTTGTATTTCCTTCTTCTTCGTTTTCTAACTGTACTAAAGAGCGATCAAATTTTTTCCCGAATCTAAAAACGACATTTTTCAAAATACTGCAAATACTCTAATAGAGTGTCACCCAAACCCAAAAATATTGGTCAGTTAACTACTTTTTGATATATTTTACAGGAAACGAGATATACGGGTTCAAACTTGACGGTTTGGGATGCACTCTATTAGAGTATTTACGGTAATCATTGCGAAACTGCTTAATATCATTTGCTTCAGAACTCCAGTCAATAAAGTTATTGTTCGAGAACTGAATTCGTTGTTAAATAAAATTCTCAAAAACTGTGCTTGCTGTATTTCTTTATGCTTCATTTTTAGACCGATAATAAGTTGATAAAAAACAAGACCTGTTCAATTGCATTGTCACTTCAGAGGATATACTTCAGAAACAGGCTACTCTGCAAAAAATAAAGCCACTCGTTTCTTCTTTTTTTCGTTGAAAAATGCTGATCAAATTATTTTCGGAGCGAGAGCCATCCCCCGATGAAGGTATAAATGAGAGAAAGATATCGAAAAGATAGGGTGAGGGTGGAGAAGAGAAGGATTCTTGAACAGATGATGTCATTGTGGGTGGACACTGAAACACGTCACGGTCTGAAGGACAGAGATTCGGACAGAAAGTGTTTGAGAATCAGCTGGAAGAGGGATTTCTAAAGTATCTCATGACTACTGATTACATTCCCTGAATTTTACATTGATTGTTGAAAAAAATGGACCGCAAACAAAGATGTCCTTAATGACTTTTTGAGACAGTGAATCCGGAATAAAAAAATTTTCTCGGAATCCAGAATACTGAATCCAGAAAAAGCACGGAAGCCGGAATGCGGACAATTTTAGCTGCAAGTGCGCTGGGTTTCGATCTACCACTTACAGAAAAAAAAAATTGTCGAGGAGAGTTTGCAGAAAGACCCAAACTGAAATGAATAGAGTCTAGCAAAACTTGATCGGTTTCGTAGAAAACTTCAAATTTTCCCATAAACATTTGTTCTCCCACTTAAGTGGTCCTATTTGATCGAAAAGAGGATTCTCAAGCTTGTTATTTTTTAAACGTTTTACAGCGACGGATAAAAACACGAAATATTCAATGTTAACCTTCCTACTTGCAGGTTTAAGGTGCCAGATGTGATCTCAAAAAAATATATCACAAACATGTAATGGGAAGGAGGGTTGGACTTTTGAAACTCATCTTCGCGAATCTGTATCTTGAGACTACCAGTCGTCCCTTCGCCGTTCCATGGCACAGAATCATATTTCCCCTCGACCCAGAAAATAACCGTGAAACATGTATTAAAAAGGCCCCCACACTGTCAAGTTTAAGCTCAATTATCTCAATTCCTATGCAGGGTATCAAAAATATGTCAACTAACAAAACACTTTTGATATCATTCTTATAATAAATAAATGAAGTTGCGTCTCTTTGTTTCTCTGTCAGTCTGTCCGAACACGTGGAAAAAGTTGAAATAAAATATAAATGGCCGTGACCCTTGGAATAAGACAGAGGAACAGTAAAGGAAATAGGTTAATTTGCGCCGAAAGCGCACCAGCCAGCTGTTTGAAGCGCCGGAGGCGCGGCAAACAGGCTGGTAAACAATTAATCAGTTGCAAACTTGTTCATAGTTTTGACAGAAACCGATAATAATTGGCTCAAAGTTAAAAGTTACGGAGCCCTTCTGTTATAAGTTTTACGGTATGAGTTTTTGATGAAGGTTTTCAAAAGATAATGCATATGTTTTAAAATTCCAAATGATCGAAAACCAGAAAGTTGAAACATTACAGTCCATCCGAAAAATGAGTGAAGTGGCTTGTGACCCCAAAACCAAACTTCATGTGTCACATCTCGAAATTCTCAGGGGAGCAACTAAGGAAAAAAGAAAAAACTAAATGATAAGTTTTAATGTTAAATCATATTATAATTAAACTAGATCCTCCCTCACATATCTAGAGGTGAGAAGAGTGTGAAAAAGAGAAAATAAAGGCAGTGGGTGGTTCCGATTCTATTCAATTTGCTTCCCTCTTTCTACTCTAGAAAAGGACATATTCTTCTCTCTGCTTCTGATGTCCTCTCCGACATATGTAAAATTATTTTTTGATGGTGCAAGACAGCGACAACGGGAACATTACTCGATCGAAAAAAAAAGAAAAAAAGAGTTTGTAAAGGTTTTATGTGGAAAGAACTCAAGACGAGAATGCATATAATTGGTGTGAGGTGTGCGAAAGTGGGAAAGAAAAAATATTCGGAAGATGGAAAGGAATTCGGGAGAGGGTAATTGCTTCAGGCTTTGTTGGAAGTTGATTATGATGAGGTTGGACACAACTAATTTAATGATAGATAAATTTGATATTCTTGAACAGAACTTTGATTCAGAATTGTTTCCCGAGTAGTTAGAAACCAGGAACTCTAGATAATCGGTCAGTCGTCTTGGTTTGTATGACACAAGTCTTAACATCAGAAGCCGGAATTAATTTTTTGAGAAACGGAATCCAGATTTCGGAATACGGAATCCAGTAAATCTAAAACGATAGTATTTAACTTCTGTGAAGTTAATGGGATTTTCTGAGCCAAATTTAGATTTTAGATTTACTGGTAAGGATTGATAGCTAGCATCTCTAGCATCTGTTTTCCATCGAAAAACCGAACTTAATGGTTCAAGAGGCTGGAACGAGACGAAAGTCTGAAGTATTACGATTTCGCTTTTTTTAATTGCCGATTTGGTTTGTATGACTAGTCTTAAAATCCGAAGCCATGACTACGTTCATTCACTTTATAGAGTTAATCAGGACCATACAGTTTTCAGTGATTATCACGAAATAAAACATGCTTAAAATTTATATCAGATTGATTCGGAAAAAGTTATTAAAAATGGGTTAAGATGTCAGAAACTCTGGAAAAATTTGCAAAAAAGTTATTCCCTCTTCTCTATCTCTGAAAAGGGCCATTAGGTTCAGCCGTCGAAGCAATGCTGGGAGAGTTTGTCGTGTGTCCTCTTCTTTGAGCAGGCAATTTGTTATCCCTTTTCTCCCCCGCTTTGTCATACTTATTTTTGAAACTTTTCTCTTTCTCTCTGTGAGGCAAAAATGAAAAAGGCGAAAATTTTCGACAAGACGAAAAAGAAGAGAAGGTGACAACAAAAACGGATGAAGTAAAAGACTGCACCTCCTTTGATTCGATTCCGGCTGTCTCATTCACATCAATCTTAAACCAAAAACCTTATTATGATATCTGAAACAGTAAACTCATATTTAGATTAAATACTTTATTGTTTACAAGCGCAGTACAATAAAAAAGACTCGTGACTGATTTAACTTGGACATGATCCAATAACGGGTGGGCAAGTGATATAAAAGAACAATAAATTACTAACTTGAAAATCGAGAATCATGAATTTTATTAGTTTCCTCCAAGCCGAGCTCCGGCACCTCCTGGCCATTGATGTCCTCGTGGCTGTTGTCTAGCCCCTCTGATATCTCCGTCTTGCCCATGAATTCCTCCATCTTCATCAGGAATCAAACGATGTAAAAACTCAGGCGTGGATATCAGATCAACACCGTACTCGTCCGGATATTTTAGTGCCACGAAGAAATAGGCATGTCCCACGAAAATTCCAATCAGCTCATTGGTTCCACCTCCACGAAGAACAGCATTGAAACCCCACAGTACCCATGGAAGATAACGAGCTGGGAACCTCATTCCGAACCAAAACGATACAATTGTATCTTTGTTAACTTGGCACCAGATGTAGAGAACCGAGATTACCATAGGCTCGAGCAAGAAGTAAATGTCCATAGCCATGCAGAGTCCCTGAAATAATGACAATTATTAATGATTAAAAAACGGTTAACTGAAACTTTCTAACAACATGTAAAGTTTTATTGAGACTTGTGAAAGATTTTAATTCTTGTTTCCGTATTTCGTCTTTATGAGAACTTTGGAGCACGAAATATAGGTTAGAATGGATCCAAGTTTTGAGGTCATCGCCTCGCCAACAACTATGTTCACGTAAAACGATATCTCAGAGATTAGACGGGAGAAAACTGGGAGAGAAAGGGGGTCTGGAGAAAACGCCGAGAGAACCAGGTTCGAACGGCTGCAAAGCTGCTAAAATAGGGCCCCTGTAAAGGAGAAGCGTCGTTGGCAAAAACAGTTTTTTGTAATTTATAATATTCCAAGTTTTATTCATGCATATGTTCTATTTATGTTTACGTCTTCTATAGAATACTGCGATTTTTTTGACCGACAAAAAAACGACGATTTTGAGAATTTCGAATTCGGAGAGAGCTCTGCAGGTAACATTTTTTCCGTCTTTTTCAGCGTTGAATGGTTTTGTAAAAACTATGAAAGAGATAACCGAAAAAGGTAAAAGAGATCGATTAATTGCTCTCACCTCAATTTACACTATTTCAAAACGTCTGAGTTTCGGAAACCGCGGCTTGTCGTGAGCAGGTTAGTCTGGAAGTCTAGTTACAAAAAACATGCGTGAAATTGCAGGCTTTCAATGGAATAAAGAAAACGAGTTATGACCCGATCAAAACGATTTAAATATATCGGGATTAATTATATAATATGAGTGATCTAATGAATGGATTTTGATTTGCGGCATTCTCAGTACGGTAATTATGTACATGGCTGTTGAACTCATCCACTTGAATAGCGAAGTTGGTTCGTCATGCCGAAAAAAATTCATTTATGATCTAAATATTGTTAAGAGGGTTTCCAGAAGAGTATACAAATGAACTTCTCAGGAGTCGCTTTTCTCGTCATTGTTTCCTTAATATTGCGAGAAACATTCGGTGAAAGTTTGCCGTTTAGTGCAAAATCTCTCGGATAACGTCACTCGGAATTAACATGGAAAACTTGGGAACCTTACATTGTCAGGAAAGATAGAGAATGTCTCGATTTATTGGAAACGATGAGTTCACAGTGTAGGCCTTGAGTGAGTTTATTGACAACATCACATAATTAAAAACCTTGTTCTTTCAGTTGAATCGTCTTTGATTTCATAAAGAATATTCATCCTATCTACAACCCCAAGCCTATGATGATTGAAAGAGAAATTACAAACCTGTACACAATGAAAAGCTCGAATTGGGATTTTATTTTCTGAAGTACTGAAAGAAAGTGCATTTAGCTTGCACTAAGAAGCGAAGAAGATAACTTATTAAATGAATCTCAAGGAAGAGTACACATCTTCCGCTAGAGGACATAAATGTACTATGAACAAAACGGTATGAACACTTCCATTTTGCAGACTTATGACCTATATCTCATTCCAGAGCTCCAGTCGCCTTAATTCTACAAGCTGCAAAAATACGAGAGCACTAAAGAAGGTTTGCAGGAGAGTTCCGGATATCGTGATTCACTTCGAAGTTCTGAATACTGCGATACCGAAGCTGAGAATAAGAAGTTAGCTCACATTTTTATTATTTCATGAGGTTATTTTTTTTTACTTTTTAGTTATTTATACTTATATTCTTTCTATTCATTCGATTCAATAAATATTCTTGTTAATTTGTTTGATTTGATTGTTAAATAAGGGGCGAACATTTAAATTTCACTGAAAGCGCGCGCAAACGACACTCCGCCGCTCGTTCGAACCAGGAGAGAAGCTGGAGAGAACACAGTGGCATACCAGTTCGACCCAAAACATCTCCCAGTTCGAACCGATATCTCTCCCAGTTTTCTGGGAGAGATATCGGTTCGAACTCGAATCTCATGTTAGAATCACGAAATACTTACCACGCAGAAAAACCAATTGAAAATGAGCATGAAAAGGTAGTCAGCTGATCTGCCGCGGTACGTTTCCCTCTCCAGTGCTTTTGAGTAATTATACAAGAAATAGCACATCATCAGCCAATGAAACCCAGTTTGTGGTGTGACCGGGTAGTATATCAGAGCTGTTAGAGGCCTCCAAAACTGAAAAAAAAACGATTTTGCGAACTTGAAACTAAATTATGAAACATACTTGAAATTTATTGACCACCAGATCCCATTGGAGGAACATCCATTGAACATTGATGAAACCAAACCTACCCAGAAGAGGCACGATCGTTGACGCGAGAAACCAATACCTTGTCACGACAGGTATTCCTAGTAGAAAATTCTCCAAATCCATCTGAAATATATTTCGTAACCTCAAGAAACTATCCTTAGAATAGATTATGCGAAGGGAAAAATCTGTCAGAAAGCTGACGTCGTATAAGAAGGAACACGTGTATTAAGAATATCGATTCCGCGACATACAGCCGTCGTGAATAACTGCGTTTTAAATTGAGGTCTGGAGCAAGTTCTACTCTACAAATTTAAACATTTTTCGAATTTTTAAAGCGTTTTTTGAGATACGAGATAAATACGAGAAAATTGTCGCGTCCAAGGAAAATTTTTTCTCCTACATTTTTCTATCTGAAAACTCAAATTAGGAAAGAAAAACGGTTAGGTTTCTCATTTAAAAAAAGTATTGCTAAATAAATCTGGAACCTAAACCCAAATACACTGAAAACTATAAAATTCGTTGTCAAAAAACATGATTTCCGCCGAATTCAGCACTTTTCCACGGCGTCTGCGCACTCTCCCCGTCAAATCGTTGCGAGACCCACACACCGTATTTCGTCTCTCGTCGCTTTTAGTGAACGTGTCTTAGTCGGTCACACCACGCGAATGAATCGATTCGGCATCAGATGGAAAGGAAACGGGTCCTGCCACCTGTTCCATTTTCTGAAGCTGTTTGCTGGCTTCTAATAAAAGATTTCTATGTTATCCGTTTTTTCGCGTTCTTTATATCTTTATAGAGACTTCAATATCATGAAAAATTATATTAAGAACTCCAAGAAGAATGGCGGATGAAATGGACGTGGTACAGGGAGCAGTTTCACCATCGGAAGATATTGAGCTAACAATTCGACAAGCATATCAATCGGAGAGCGATCTGAAGTTCACTTGTCCTCTGAGCTGGACAATCAAGCAAGTGAAGGAGCATGTCAAAAATTGCCTCAGCAGTCACCCGGTAAGAAAATGATAATACAATTGAGTTACGGAAAAGTATAACTGTTTCAGGATGTACTCAATCAGCGTTTGATTTTCTCAGGAGCTTCTCTGAACAATGAGCAAGTTCTCTCAGATGTTTTGAGGGATAGGTAAGACCAAAGTGTATCAATAAACTGACATAAATGCACAAAGTTCCAGAAATCACGTACCTGGCGACCAAGTGTTCTTCCACCTTATGATTACGCAACCATACCAACCAGCTACACTAAATTCGGAAGTTCGTCAAAGAAATGTAAACACAAGTGGAACTCAAAAGTGAGTTTTCAGTTATAGCTGCAATTAAAATTGAAAAGGCAACAGGATTGATATACTCTTCAAGAATGAATATCCGAGAACTTTTTTGTTTTCCTCATATCCAGCAAAGGAAAACAGGAACATTATCTCGATGAGCAGATAACTTATTTCTAAATCAAAACTTTGAGCTCAAAATCAAGATACATTATGTTGTTTTAATCGAAACTATCAATTTTCATGCGTTTTCAGTCCAATTTTCTCTATCAGAAATTATTCTTTTTCGAGTTGTTTGAGAGGAAAATGTCAGAAAAATCGGCAAAAAGCAGCGAACACGAGAAAATAAATATGAAAAAAATGTTTAAATTACGATAGTTATCGTTGTGGGACCTTCGGCCAGGGCGACCGGCGTTCCTCTTCCACAGCTCCGTTTTTTGTTCCAGAATAATACCATAAATGATCTAGCAAATAGAACACATCTTTTATACTTTTATAGTTTACAGATTTCTTAAAACTCCAATAGTTAAAATATATACTAAAAAAGTCCTCAAAGTGTGAATGGCATTATTGTATTTTCAGCTCGACATCTTCCACAAACTTGAATTCCATGGTTCACCCTGCTTATGCTCAAAACATGGTCGCATGGCAGCAATACTGGGCAGCGTACAATCAGTTGTCTCCTGATCAGCAAACATCAGAACATCAGAGATTGATGATGCATTACTATTCATATGCAATGATGAATCCAGCAACACCAATAACTCAAGTCACAGTGAATTCTCCTGAGCAGAATGCCGCAGCTTGGCGAGCAAGACTTCACGGAGTGGCTCACCATATAGATGGCCAAGCAAATGGAAATCAAGCTGCTGCTGCACCCCGGCAAGGAAGAGTTGATCTTCTGGAAGTAGGATATAGAATCTTCAAACTCGTTTTGTTGTTCTCCGCTATTCTTCTCTACTCATCCTTCGAACGTTTCGCTTTGGTGTTGTGCTCGGCGCTATTCATCTATTTTATCCAACTCCGCAGAAATCACGCGAGAAACAGAGCACAAGCTGCTGGTGCTGCTGCGCAACCGGCAAATGATCAGGAGCCACTTGTTAACAACAACAATAATGGAGAAAACGATGGAGAAAATACGGTAAGTAGTTCCCAATAAATTTGTTAGCAAATAGTATTCGTTTAAACAATAGTTGTCTTATTATATTAGTCGCTTTCAGGCGCCAGCAGCGGAAGCAGAAGCGTCCAACCCTTCCGACGTTCCTGCACCACCACCGTTGCCACAGCCAACTACAATGCAAGTCTTCATCGCAACGACCTATTCGTTCGTCACCTCATTCTTCGCATCCCTTGTTCCTGATCATCCTATGCCGATGGATCTAAACTAGATCTTATTCGTTTAATATGTATTTTTGTGCATGATTCGTCAATTGTTTAAATATTTTCTCACCGGCTTCTCTCATTCTTTTCACCTCTCCCGATGTATTACTGTACAACCGAAGTTCTTTTTCAGATCCCATCACATTAGTTGCGCATCGTCTAGACACTTTTGTGTATATGTATCTTAATATCGCTGTTTCTTCCACTTGCGGGTTGCCCTCTTCCTTTTCTCCCCTTTTTTTCGAATAAACTTTATTGGAATTCGTTCAGAACTGTCGCCCACTACGTTCATTATGCACGATGAAAGGGAAGAGGACTGGTCTATCTCTTCGTTTTTGACCAGTGTCCATTTCTGAACATCTCTTGTCTAGTTTTTACTCCGCTCTCAAATCATCGTTATACTTTCGTGTCGTTTCGTACACTGGTTCAGTTTTGAAATTGTATCGATTTACAGTGGATATACTGTGACAGTAAGTTTACAAGTTGAGTGGTAATTAACTTATTAGGAACACATTAGGTTACAAAACAGAACATTTCCGAAAACACGGCATTAACCGACAGCCGGAACTCAGTTAAAATCATTCAAATGTTATTCTGGTACAAAAAAATCGGAGCTGTGGAAGAGAAACGCCGGTGGCCGTGGCTGAAGGTAACACTGCGACAACTACCGTAACCAGAAATATGTTTATCTTCCGTATTGATTTACTCGTTTTTCACAGCTGCTCGTTTTATGTTATTTTTTACAAAAAAGTCAAACATTTTTGGTAGTGTAAAAATTGACTGAAAACGCACGAAACCCCCAATAACATATCTGCCNAATAAAAAAAATAACAGGTTACGGTAGTTGTCGTTGTGGGATCTTCGACCATGGCCACCGCCGTTTCTCTACCACAGCTCCGATTTTATGTACCAGAATCCTTATTCGTCTCATTTTCCGTTGTTTTTTTTTCCCGACACAAATCCCCTAGGTTACGTCACACAAAAACCGTCTGAGATCTAATACCCTTTTGTATTTCTTTCTAAATTTCCTCTTTCATCAATCAAATCGGCACGTAAGTGAGGTACCATATATTCCCTTTTTCTTCCTCTTTTTCTTCTTTTCCTTCCTCTCTTTTTCATCTTTCGGAAGAGTTGTTTTGTATTCCGAATGACCTAGTTGCCAGTAGATATTCCCGAATTGAATGGAAACGAAAGAAAAAAGAAGGAGGTCCCGAGGGCGCCCAAGGTCGATTCGGTTAATGTTCATTCGTCGTCTCGACGTTTTCGATTTTTTTTTCTCGGTGTGTCTCCTGGAGAAATCAGCGAGAAGAGATAACGAAAAAGGAAACCAGGTGTCGATTTGAAAGCGAAATGATGATGCGATACTCGGAACACGGGAATGACACATTTAGGAAAATAAAAGAAAACTGTAGATCTGGTTCGCTACTACATACAACTTTGGACATCTCAATGAACGTAGTCAACAACGAAAAACAGTTGGCTTTCCAGCAACAGTACTTTTCTTGCCAGTCTGAAATGAACTAGCAGTTGATCTTTAGATTATGATGGTAGCCTTGTGTCGTTTTTATACTATTCCTAGCAACCGATGAATATTCAATTAATACAGACAATTCAAACTTTTTTACGGTTCCGCGCCACTTCGAAACGAATCATTTCGAAACCGTGGTAATACCGGTGAACGTATAGGTTTCAGACTACAAAGACATAGAACACTTTCTGAAATCCGAAGAAATCCGAAATAAGATAATTGCTTCAAAAAACACTTTTCATAAGGTGTTCTATCAGAAAAAGCATGATTGAAACCCTTAAAACTGTCTTTGTAATCGGAAAATTATCCATTCGCGTGTAATACCATGGTTTCTAGACTGGTTACGAAGTGTCGCGGTTTTGAAATGTCACAGTTTCGAAGTGACGCGGAGCCCCTTCTATTACAGGTTTTACAGTATACAAGAAAAAAGACCAACTCTTCCCAACAAGAGTTCTACTTCATTCCGACCCGTTTTTTTTTAATTCGGGAATTTTTTGATCACTAACATCTAAAAATTTCCAAATTTTGGTTGCAAATGAGGAAACAGAATGATTATATCATCAGAAGGAATTTTCTCAATCATGAAGATATATAAACTTTTATAATTGTCTATTTCTCGAACCTTTATTAATTTATCCTCCTTCTTTCTCTCTTTTCTCTTTGCATCGAATTCCAATTTAACACAACAATGCGCGGGTACTATTCTTCTTAGTAAAATCCCCTCCATCGTCCGTCGTCACCGTCCCGATTCCCTCCTCTTCTCACCTGAAGGTAATTTCCTCGTCTTCTTTTCCTTCTTCTTCTTTCATTTTCTATCACCCTTTTCTCCTGTCTCACCTACAATATCGCAAAAATTTTCCTTTTTTCTCGGATCTCTTTCCCTTTTTTTCCCCCAAATATTATCTTCACTTCCGAAGAAGTCGGCAGCTATCGTTTGATCGTCCGATCATCAAACCTGCCGAATTTTTCGATTTTTATAGTGATAGTGAAATCGAGAAAATCGAAGATTTTCCTTTTTCTTCTTCTCGAGGCGAGTCTATTTAAGACTGGATCTCATTGATCTCGTTTATGTTTTTCCCCTTTCTTTTTTATTTTATTTTTATTTCTACCACCGTATCAGAGCTATTTTTGATCTGTAAAAAATAAGGTTTGTTAATTTCTAGACAAAAAAAATGAGAAACGATTTTTGACGTTCCTGTCTACAGTACATTATTTTGCGAATATTACACTTTTTCTATGGTTATCAGAAGTCGAAGTGGAATGTAGACGTCACGCTCCGCTTTTCTCACTTTTCTAGAAGGCGACGGTCTTCTCTTCAATGAAAAAGAAAAATTCCGAAGAAAATCTCTAATTTCAGACTTTTTTTGAGTAGAATTATATACATAGACTCATACAGCAGAAAATTAATTTAAACTTACAACATAGAACTGCTTTTCAATATAATTCATTGTTTTGAGGCAAGTACCGGGCACACTCTAATAGAACGTCACCCCAACTTTTAATTTTGAGCCAATCTGTCCCGATTCCTGTGAAAAATTTTGAACAGAAAATTTTTGATATTATGATAAAAATTTTGTAAGTTGACAACTTTTTTATATCTTTTACAGGAAACCAGATACATGGACTCAAAGCTTCGGGGCGTTCTCTTCCAGTAGTTCATTATTTTGAAGCGAACGTTTTCAGAGTATAATAGCTTTCATACAAATTTCTTGCCAAAAAGGCATCTTTCAAATGAAGCGAAGACCTGTTCATATTCTTTATCGCTCTCGATATCTCTTACTTTCATTTGTAAAAATCCAAATTGATCGACCTTCTCCGATAGGAAAAGAGTACTATTCAACGAAAGTTGTGACTTGTACAAATCTAGTTTTATTCTCTTTCTCTCTGTATCCACAGTTACCCTTAATCGCTTTCATTTTTTGCAATTTTTCAAATCTTGTTCCAATGCTTTTATAATTTTTTTAGTTTATTGGGCGGGAAAGAAATTATCCGGACTTCTATCTGAAACCTTGAAAATGATAAATGCAAATTCTAGTTGTTTTTGTTTTCGCAGATGCTAGTTTACAAACAATTACAGTAAATGTTCTAGAGGGCCACCCAGATCGTCCACTTTGAGCTAATTTATTTTACTTCCTGGGAATGATATTAAAAAGTGGTCAACTATCAGATTGTTTATCAAAATGTCAAAAATATTCGGTTAGCTAACCACTTTTTCATATCTCTTACAGGAAATGAGATATATGGGGTAAAAGCAGGGTTGGAATGCGCTATTAGTGTTTACAATAGATTTAGTTGTACTCTCTATCAAAAACTACTAAAAGTGGGTTTTTTTGATACCCAGACGAGAAAAAGCACATTGAAAATGTTATCTTATTTGAATTCCAATCACATTTGAACAAATTTTGAAGTTCCTTTTTGGACCTATACCTTCTCATCATTGTATGGGTTCTTAAACTCAAAATAGCCTTAAAATTGCGGCCAAGCGACCTTCTTCTTCTTCTTCTTTTTCTCCTCCTCTTCCCCTACTTTTTCATGTGAAAGGATTCTCGTCGGTCGTATTCGCTTTTCGAGCGATTTCACCTTCGTACCAGTCGGTACAGGTCGGTGCGCGCCAATCTCTCCCAAACGATTTTCCCCTTCTTCTTCTTCCCCCCATTCCGATTCTTTTACCACCCGCGAGAAGAAGAAAAAGGAGAAGAAGAAGAAGAAGACGTTGTGGTCGAGAGAGTAAGAAGAACGAAAATGACATTGTACAACAACTTGACCCCCAAAAATTTGTGTTGAACGAGATGGAAAAAAGAAAAACGAAAAGAAAAAGAAGAAGAAGGGTGCAATTCTTCTCAGGAAGACGAGAAAGAGAGAGAGAGAGAGAGGAGTGTTATAATAATTATGAGATCGGCCATCCGAGGTGTCACACTTTTAATGGGATTCAGGATTCCCTTGACATTACAGGAAGCAAATAAAAATCCGATTGACGTACTGTATTTCAAAAATCCGAATTCCAACTTTTCACCTATACCCTCTAATTTTCTTTTTCGTTGGATCATTGAACACAGCACATTAAGAAAAAAACAAAACACGTTCAGTTGATTGATAATGACGTCAGGATTCAGAAGTCCTTCTAATGGACATGCCATCAATCTGATCTACAGTACTTTCTCTGTCTGGAAACTTTGAATTTAAAGAAATGCGACATATTGGGGAGCTAGAATCAAAATCAATCCAGAAAGAGTTTTGTTGGTCTTGATACGCTATTAAATAGATTTATCAACAAGTCAAATTACAGACATAAATCCCTCCCCAGCTTTTTTCTTACCCTAACTATTCAAAGATGTTTTTGTTTGGAGATATTCCCAAAACGGTATACAACTTCTTTTCTTCCGCTGCCCTTCTCCTTCTTCCACTTTTCATTTTCCCTAAAGCCCATCTGGATGCCAAAAAGAAACCAAAAGCTTCAGTCCGCGTTCTCTTTCTTCCACTTTCTTCTTCTTCTTCTTCTTCATTTTCCTTCCACGTCTTCTAACAAACATCGAAGGACTAGAGACGATCCGAATCACTGTGGCGGATCTCAACGGCCGACATGCAAGAACAGGTCCAGAAGAGAGAAAGAAGAAGCCTCTCTTCTTCTGTCCAGCAGTGTCCATTATGCAAGAGAGTGTGCGAACAAAACGCGGACGGACAAACCGGTCCCTTTTTATTTCTCTATTTTTCTCTCTCATTCATATTCTATTCATCTGATTTGCCTCTCTCAACGCATCCAACTCTTCGGAAGACCATCGTTGGATCCGAATCCATAGATGAATGGTCGCCGTCGTCGCGCGCGACTATTCTCGGGCGGCGCCATGATTGACCGTTTCTCTCGATCTCTCAAATTTGAATGCTCTTTCCGAGTGTCTACAACCCTACCGTAATCCTCTCTGAATCCGTCTTCCCTCATTTTACACCCAGCAGCAAGCACACCAGCTATTTTCTCGCTTCTTCTTCCCTTTCATACATACTATTCATCTATTTCTATTTTCAACGATCCTCTTCTCTCTTTCTTTCACATATTTTTTCATCCAAATTTCATTTCATATTTACCAATCTACCGTACCCCTCTCCTTTCTTTCTTTTTTCCTCACTCCTTTTCTCCAAATTCCTCTCGTCATCTTTTTCCTTTCGGCTCCTTTTTTGTAGTTGATTCATTGGCAACAGATACAAAGACAAACAGATATGACCCTGCCTTGTCTCGACTTTTTTTTTTGAAACATTTTTCTCTATTTTTTCCTATTTTTTCTCTTTGAATGTCTTCATTCTGTTCCCAAATCCCCTAACCCTGACCCATAAATGAATGCGTCATTTTTCGAATTCTTAGTGTCTACTTCCTTTTGTTGTCTACTCCAGATGAACTAGAATTTGCTGGAATTAGCTCTCGACACACTTCTTCATGGGCCGATTCCGAACCATCATGGTCCGCTGATAACTCGTTCTGTTTTGAAAATCTGAAAAAAATTTCCAATTTTGAATCGAGTTATCAGTCCATGTTTTTTACTTTCTTGTTCTGAGCTTTCTCTTCTTTTTTTGAAAATCTCTTCTCCTTTTCTACTACAATATGTAGCACAATTTCTTCTCCAGTTCTTCGATTCCCTGACCTACCGTAATCAATTCCAGCTTTTCCCTTTCAGTTTCATCTCCTTCTTTTTGATCTCCATGTCTTGAACACTCTTTCCTTGATACCTAAAACCCATCATTTTTCGAGTTGTTCTTATCACCATTTTCACTATTTCGGCGCCGTTTTCCTGATTCTCGCCCTCGCCTTTTCCCTCTCTTCACAGTTTTTCTCCCTCTCGGTGCATTGTTTTGAAAGTTTTTCTGACTTATTTTCATATTTTATTCACAAAACTCATCTTCGTTTTTTCAGAAAAAGAAGACGTAGGAGAGTATCCATAACCTCGTTCCCATCCTCTATTCGATCTCATTTCCAACTTTTAAAATGGGTCAAGGATGTGGGGATGAAGACGTCCCCCCGGCACCATTCTCTTCTGCTCACTCTCCAGCTCACTCCCCATTATCAGTTGGAGTCTTTTCTACTTCATCTGCCACGTCATCATCTTCAACACCTCCTCCGTCAACGTCTCCCAGTGCATCTGGAGTTACAACAGGCAAGAAGGGGATACTGTAGATTAGAAAAACACGGGGGAACCTTGTGAATCAAACCACATTCGATTTTCTTTCCTTCAATTTTTCCATCTTTCTTTCGTGGTCGATTTGCTTATCAAATCTCAATACCGCCAAGCTTATCACTTCTTATCACCTCTCAAAAGTATGTTCTTTTCCCTTGTTTAGGCATCAGAAAAGGAAAGAAAAAAGAGGGTTCAAAACAACAACAATCACATCGAAACTATCGAAAATTTGAAAGTTTAATTTCAGGTGTCCGATCGACAGAAAATGATTGGAAACAGGCAGCAGATGAGAATCTGGCCGAGTTGTGTATATTTCATGTCCCGGATAAAGCTATTACCTTGGTGAGTGAATGTGGATGATCTTCCAGAAAGAAAAACTATGCCAAAATCAAATTATATTTCTTAACCCCGAAAAGTGTTTCGATTTCCTCTATCAGAAAAACATGAAATTTATTACAACATGCCTGGAAACTGTAGCCCTCTTTAAACACGAAATCTTATCAAATCTTATTTCGAAACAAAACAAGTTTTCACTTTTTTATTTTCAAAAGTACCAATCATCTCTTCATTAAATTCATTACCTTTATCAGTTTCTCCCTAAATACAATTCTTCTAATTTCAGCCGAACCCGAAGCGAGCCGAGTGTACGTTGCCTATGAATTTGATTCTGAAATCTTCAAAAAACCGTAAAAAATCATCGATTTGGTCATCTGATCAAATTCCACGAGGTGTTCGATTCGGTCCTCTTGTTGGAGAAATTCGATTGGTTGACGTCGAATCAGCACTCGTGTTTCCTGCTGAAGCTTCAATGGCTGGTGGAACGACGGCACAAGAAGAGGTTCCATTTGATGAAACTCCGGAAGAATGGAAAGTTTTCTCGCCTTCTGGAGGTCGGCTAACAAAAACAATAAGTGTGAAGGACGATGGAAAATCAAATTGGATGAAGTATGTGGTGGCAGCAGAAGATGAAAGTAATCAGAATCTGGTCGCTGCTCAAATTGGAAATGATATTTATTTCTACACCGTCAAAAAGATTGAATCGAATACAGAACTGTCATTTTGGTTCAGCAGAGATTATGCCAGAAAATTGAATTATTCAACAACTCCGTCCGTGAGGACAAGAGCCACCTCTCAACAAGCACCAATCCTTCTGGTTCCATCAATTCCATCGATTCCATCTGCAGCACCAATTTCGTCTTCAACTGCAATCGCAAGCCTAGCAGAGACAATAATTGCCATCGATTATTCCGTAAAGAAACTTGTCGAACCTGCAGATGTTCCATCAACTGATGCCTCGTCAACCAGTGATAATGATGAGGAAATGGTCGATGTGGAAGAGAAAGAGAGTTGCACAAAGCCAGTTGCAGAAGTCTCAAGGCCTAATGTTATCCAAAATCCAGTAGTACGACCTGTTCCTACAAGATTAACAAGCTTCTCAGCACCTATACGGCCTGCTCCGTTGGATCCTTTGGCAATGTATAAAGATTATCTGAGGAAAACAATTCAGTGGACAAGTAAGTTTATTTTAATTATGGATTTCGATCTCAAAAGATAAGAATCTATTTCCTATTTGTTATCACTTAAGATTTCGGTATACATGAAAAGGTTTCCATCTGCTAGTTATCTAACTAGTTATCTATTGTAAATCTAACTAGTGAGTAGTGAGAAGCTTGAAGTTTTTATGATCGTTATCTCACTATGAGACACAGTTGTTTATCAGAAAAGTGCAACTCTCTGACTGGAATTCCATATTATTTCGTTCTGAATATCTCTATTCTTTTATATTCAAATTCAGAAATGATAAAAATAGAGACAATGTGGAAAGTACTCGCTCAAGTAAATTTAGGTTAGAAGTTGGTACTCCAATAGAAAACCACTCGATTCCATGTTCTATTCCAATTTTGATCAATTTTCCAGAGCTCACCGAAACGTCTATATTTGTCCCTCCAGTGGTTCAAACAGCTGCTACGATAACTGCGACGGGCGGAAGATCCGGTCAGCCAATTGACGTACAGCCGGTACTCGCAGCCACTGCTGGAGCTCATTTCGGAAATTACGCCGCCATTTATGGAAGTCAAGATTTCCAAAACGAACTGAAGCCATTATTCACGACTGCAACACCCGCATTTGGCGGTGGTGGAGGCATGGGAGGAGGATTCGGAATGGGTGGAAGTGGACATGGATCGTCTTTCCACCAACTTCCATTCGTGAATCATTCAGCTGCCTCACACAATGATTCGTCGTTTAATGGGGTTCCAAACGTAATTTATTTGTCTCTTTTTCAATGGATAATTATATCGAATTTCAGTACGTCCAACAGCAAGAGAATGGAAAAACCAGATACGCTTGCAAAGACTGTAATAAAACATTTGGACAACTCTCAAACTTAAAGGTTCATGTCAGGTGGGCTATTATTTTTCAAAAAAAAAAAACCAATAAACGAATTCAACATTTCCAGAACACACACAGGAGAACGACCCTTCAAATGTGAGATCTGCACAAAAGAGTTCACCCAGCTTGCTCATCTTCAAAAGCATCATCTAGTACACACTGGAGAACGACCTCATCGTTGTGATATCTGTGATAAGAGATTTTCGTCTACATCAAATTTGAAAACTCATTTACGCCTTCATAACGGACAAAAACCGTATACTTGCGACGTTTGCGATGCCAAGTTCACTCAATACGTTCATCTGAGACTTCACAAAAGATTGCATGCAAATGAAAGACCGTACAGCTGTGGAACCTGTGGAAAGAAGTACATTTCTCCAAGTGGATTGAGAACTCATTGGAAGACAACCACGTGTAAGGAGGAGGATACAAAAGACATGTTGATGTGGAAGAAGGATGATTTGATGGAGATTAAGGGAGAAATTGATGAAGGATCTCCGTCAAACTACATGGATATTTTTGAAAATCCATTGGTAAGTTGCTTTTTCTATGTTTTTCGCATTTGCTTTATACTTGGCATGTCTTTTTAACCCCCTCTGCACTTTCCTATGAATCCCCCCATGCTCACTCACATCTCCACTGCTTTCTTTTCAGAATTCCGAAATCAAACCCCGCCCACTCCTGCCTATCGACACTATTTATACTGTAAGCTTTTAGACTTGGCCTCTACACAAATCCTACTAGCTTCATCATGCACCAAGCAATCTTTGAGTCTATTTTAATAATCAACTGAATGAATTTCAGAAGTATAACATTTCCAATCCATCTCTTCTCGGTCAAGGACCAAGTGGAATGCAAGAGCAACAGCCTCCACCACCGACTCCACAGCAACAACAACACATGATGTATGGAAATGGAATGGGACATATGGGACAGCCACAACACCTTCAAGGGCCACCTCAACACTTCCAAATGGATCATAATGGAATGCAAAATGGAGGACATCCACACCAACATCAACTTCTTCAGCCACAATCTGTGCAGCCATCCCATAATCCCCATGATAGTGTTCATCAACCTCTTAGACTTCCTGATCTGAAACCATCTCTTCTCCCAACTCTCGGTCTACCACATTATCAGTGATTTTATCATATTTAACCTATATTCTTTATCTCGTACGGTTGTTAAAACCTTTAAATTGCCACCAGTTTTAGGATCACAATTGTTCCCGTTTATTCGCTTCTTCAACCAGTCAACCATATCATTTGTACCACCTTAGCATTTCGTTTCATTTCTATTCTTAAAAAACTTTTCCTCATTTCTGCATACATTATCCTGCCCCATTCCAAAACGAGTCTCTCATAATATTGTATTCAAATTGTATTCAAATTGAGTTCAAATCAATGTATCAACCGTTTTGTAATATCATACTTTTTGGATTGCTGTTTCCCTCAATCACTTCTCAACCTCTTCTTGCTTTATCATCCCTCCTTTTCACTGTCAGTTTTTCTAACGAATTGACGCTTCAATTCCTCCAACTTCGTGATCGCTAATTTTCGCCGTCACCGGACGTCTTCTTTAATGATTCAAATTATTTTCTTTTTGTAATGTACATAAAAATTTTGAAACCGATTTTCTTAAGAATAGCCCTCACTGTCAGGAGCTCTACCAGAGATGTCAGGAATTCTCCCGTGTTCAAAAATTTTTACTTCCTGACATCTCTGATCCTCGGCGGACTGTAGGCCCACTGACCATCTCGACTTGTAACTTCTGGTCAAAAGTTGAGGGGATTTGGCTTTTGGAAGGATTGTGTAAAAACGGGTGAATGCTATGACCAGATTTTGACCGGAAGTTGAATATTGAAAACACTACTAGGTCGGGACTTTTTGGAGTATTTTTTTTCTTTTTGAAAAGTTTATAGGATAATTAGCGGCATTCCGGAAATTCAGAAATGAAACATATCTGAAAAGAAAAACCATCTGAATTATGAAGAATTTTCGAAGAGCTTTTCAAAACCTGCGGAAATTTATAGGCCCAAAAAGTCAGTAATTGGTGTCCATCCATTTTTTTTCCATTTTTTTAAAAGTATTTCCCTTGAAAACTAATGAAAACTGATTTATATCGGGAACAGGAACTATATTCCATTTTTGAAGCCTTTTTGTGTTTAATCAAAAAATTTAAAGAAAAATTAGTTTATAAAAATTACAGATAAACAAAAAATACAAGAGCAATCAAACACAAAATTGAAAAAAATAATTATTCGATTTTTCGCCTTTTCTCATTATTTCCCACTGAATTTTTTCTTTTCTCTTCCGATTTTTCCGAAGGAGTTCCACCGAAAATTGCTCTCAATTGCTCCGAATTCTTCCCTTTTATCCACGTGGCAATCGTTTTTGTCGAAATCGCAAACAGAATTCTGACATCTAAAAAGTTGGAGGCCCTCACTAAATCGAACATGACCTCATTGTCCATTTGCAGAAATTGCTGATCCCATTCTGCTGTGACTTTACAGTAATCCATCTCTCGAATTTTCGGATCATTTTTGTGATGTTCACACCATTTGACGATTAATTTTAATGTTGGTCCAGTGACTTTTTGAATTTGAATCGGATTCTTTTCGCCGTTTACCGATGGAGAAAACCCGAAATTCGAGACAAAATCGGTGAGAAATTTCGAATGTTTCATGGCCAGCTCGCTGATCAACACTTCCTCTTTATCTTCCGTTATCAATTTGAAACAGGCATTTTCGATTTTCGGAGATTTTTTTAGTGAAGGCGTCATTTTGTGTTGGTGTTAGTAGAAATCTGAAAAAAAATAAGTGAAAAAAGAACAATTCTAACGACTTTATGAAAAAAAAACGAAAGAATTATCAAACCTACAAAATTGAGGAAGAAAGAAGAAAAACGCACGGAAAAGTCTTTTATGGGGTTATTCAGGGAGTCGGCAAAAAAGGAAAAAAACTCCGCGAAAACTCGGAGAGTGTTCCAATCTGGCT